ATGAGTGATTTCCAGGTAAGCCACAACCAAATATCCTTCTGAGCCCCTTCCAAAGATTCTACAAGCAAAACATAAGTTGACAGATATTGAGAATATTACTCATTGACCAAATCAAGAGCTCCTTGAGCAACACCTTCGACCAAAGGGATCACAGTGAATCAATAAATGTTTAAAGGGTTACAAAAGCCTTTTGGGTTATCAGTCCCCAACTCTTTCAACTACCAAGGACAAGCGACATGATGAATCTGGGACAGGTTGAAGCAGGTTTTGGACCTGAGGATTGCCACACCAAAGCTGTCTGTTGATTGAATTACAAAGAAGCATGAGTTAATAAATCCAATGTCTCTCTTTTAACCAAGTTTGACTAATGTGCTATCATGTTATTGGCTTGTTGACTGAGGTGATTCAGTTGAGTCACAAGACCTGACATTCAGTCAGATCTTGTGACTCAACTCAACCACCTAAGTCAACAAGGGTCAATAATTTTGATCGCACATTGGTTCAACTAATTGAATTACAAAGAAGATTGGATTGACTATATACACATACACCCATCTGGTGAAGATAATGTTGAGATATTCTAGCAAGCAATATCACTCTAAAACTAAACTACCACAATGTCTAGACTTCCACATAGTCTAGAGGGAGAGACTTGACTTGATGGTTGACTAATAATCATGATTTTGGTCAGTGTAGAGATCAAATCCAGCCTGATGGTATGTGAAGGAGATGATGTTTGAGTGCACAGATCTGGATGGTTATCCAGAGGAATGGCAACAGTGATGAGAGACTGAAGGAGAACAGTGATGAGAGACTGAACACACAGTGCAATCTCAGAAACCTCAGCTTCTTGACTTTTCATACCAAGCTGCTCTTCCAACATGTAACATGTAGCATACACATGATGTAACATGGAACTGTAAGGATCACTCCAAGGCTGTTACATGTCAATACTGAGGGTTAGGGTTATCTAAACCGCTCAGTCCTCATATTAACCAAGAAACAAGTGGTGCTGTTTCTATTTATCACAAGTAATTGAACAAAATACAAATGTCAAATTGATGAATATTGGTCTTCATGGGACAGAGCTCTGAGTGGTGAGGCTTCCTCTGTGTTCACGATGGATCATGAACCCTTGAAAGCTGTTCTGGAGCAGCTTTCAAAATGTTCAAAAACAATAGTCTCAACTGTAAAATGGCTTTTGAAAAAAGGGGCCCAATAGAGCAGAAGAAAAAATGCATGACTTCTTTCGCAAAAGTCTAAAATAGAGATTTCCAGAAAAAACAATTTCTGCTGCTTTTTGTACTATACCCATTGGGGTGTTGGAGATGCAGTTCCACATAATCATATTCCATCCTGGATACTAGGTACATCATGGTCACTTCAGGCAACTACACGTAACTTATATTTCTAAGTGGGAAGAATCAATTCACAACAATCTAGCAATAGCCTGCAGTGCATCATCAAGACGTGTATGGTTGTTTGTAACCCCCAATCTCAATTTTTCCAGGTCACCACATTCCCTCAAAAACCCACTATCATAGCAGTTTGCTGGAAGATTACCACATACTTTGGCCAAAGGATTGATCTTGTTGCCCGCTTCACGTCGAGTATCAAATCTCCTAGCTGCTTCAGTCCTCAACTTCACGGTGGCTTGATGATTGTATGAAAGTACATCTATCTTATGAAGCCACTCTCCATACTTGGCACTGCGCCATTCAGGCTGAATTGAGCGCTGTTGACCAAGAGAATCATCCTCAGTATCAGAGCAACATGCTGCTTCTGGCAGGAGATCTATAAAGTCTTTGAGGAATCGTTTGACAGTAGATTTACGGTATATAAAGAGCTGTAGACTGTTTCAGTATGGCCACCACAACTTGATACGTTGCCAAAAGGACCAGGAAACTTACATCTCGTCGCTTCCTACTGCGCTCCCGCTGTGCAATCTTTTCCGGAGAGGCAAACTCATTCTTCCAGTCTTCAATTCGCCCAATCACCCATCGAGTAACAATACCAATATAGATAACTTCCTTCTCCCATTCGACATCCAGTCCAAACTTTTGAAAAGCAGATGCCCTCCTGGCAAACATCCAATGCTTTACGGTGAATAAAATCATCACTTGATTCCATGCAGCGTCTTCACCTCCCTGAGCTTCCCAACCAAAAGTAAAAGGTCCTTCAATTTGGTGGTTGGCCATATCAGTGTGCAGAAGAGCCTTGAAAACACTCCAGTCCAATGGATTTGGGTGATTGTCGGAGCTGTAGTTGACAAAGACGGAGGTGTCGGACAGGATGCCTTCCTGTGTTAGAGGTGTGAGTGACATCAGCTGTTCATCAGTTGGCGGGTTGGGGAAATGTGGGTGATTCCTTGTGTGGCCAAGCAGGTAACGTGTGAACTCGGCAAAAGATTTACAGGTGGGGGAGTTTGACTTTGGAAGTATCTTGGCGAATGAGCGGTTTTTGGCCTTGCGACCTTTTGGTGCGGCACCATTGGGCCAAGCTGGGGCAGAGTTTTGTGATGTGGACGCTGAGTAGAATGGAATCATGTCAATTTAAGTGGTTGAGGAGATGAGGAATGGGGAAATTTATACCCATGGTTCTAAATCGATAATCACAGTTGTGAACTTATTTCTGTCAAAACTCTGATTGACTAATTGAGAGTGGTAACCTTCAAAATCCCAAAGTATGTTGAGAGCTAGTTGAGTGAAATGTGGTCAAGGTTGAGGTTGAGTTATGTGAACTGTGGCAGACTGGATTCTCCGCAAAGTAACTCCTTAAAAGGGAAACTTCCATGTATGGCTGTCACAGATGGTGACAGCCATACTTTTCACAACATATGGCTGTCACAGATTGTAAAATCGGATTTGCACAACACAAGTGGCACAAGGAACTGATACTCAAAAATAAAATTGGGGAAACTATCCTAATTTCAATGGTAACAAAAACGACAAATCATACAAGATAAGAGCAGCTGTTCAGGAGGAAGAAAACACCATGGAGTTGCTTTTCCCAAGCTTTGTCTTCAAAATATCAATGGCCGACTTAAGATCAACTGTGGTGTCTGACAACTCCAAACTGTCAATTGTAATCTCATCTATCCCTTCAGTGAGTATTTCTGGCTTGATGAGGCATCTGGGAAGAGTCTTGGGAGGAAGTTGATCTTCCGGATCAGGAACGTTTGGCGAATATTCTCCTCTGGACTGGAAAAATTCTTTCAGTCGATCCTTTTGTTTTTTGGTGCTCTCCCTTTTGGGAGCTGCATCATCAGCCAGTTTGATCAATTCATCAAGCTGGGGGGTCCGCCAGTTGAGCTTGACCTTCCAAAACTTCCCAGGCTTCTCTGGGTCCATTTCGGTCTCAGAATGAACCTCTTGAGAGTTTAGCAGGACTTTGAGTGGACCGGTGAAGTGACGAAAGTAGGGCTCTACTGCTGCAGCCCGTTTTTCACAGAGCTGCACATGCACATGTCAGTATGGGTGCTTTATGAGAGTGGCAACAGTGAAAGGGGATATAATAGTTACCTTCTTCCTAATGGCTTTCAAAGCGGTTTTCTCCCTCTCCGTAAGTTTTTGTCGGACAAGCTTGTCACTTCCTCCTTCCGTAGACACCAACTTCCTTTCCTTTGCCTCATCTCGGAAGACTCTGCGCTTATTCGAGACCCAGCGTGAAAGTATTTCTCTAGTTTCAAGGGGAATATTAAGGCTGCTGTCGATTGGGAATCCGGAAGGTACACCTCGAGCATTGTAACAATCTAACCAGCTAGTAATTAAGTTGTCTAACATAGCCATGTTCCAAGGAGTTTTAGGAGGACTTGTCCATTGGAAAGTGATGCGAGAGAAGCCACAGCCAGCAAATTTAGCTTCAGCACATCCTAAGCGAGTGGCATTGTAGGTGGTGATTGAGGCAGTAGCATGGGCTACTCGGGAGATAAATTTAGGAGGGGGAAAAGCTTGGTTAAACATGAGAACAGCTTCTTTTGACACCATAATCCTCATTTGATGCTTGACAGATTCATTTGCTGAGGGGTTATTTTTGAAGCGCTTGTCCATCTTTTGTTGAATGTTGACATCTAGATATTTCGTCCTTGTGTCAGAATAGTTGGCCCACTGTTCAACCTCTTCAGGAGTTGGTTCGTCAGGAAGGTGGCGTGCAAGGAGGACAGCAGCAGAGATGTTGGGAGATGTCCGGGTGCTGGATTGACGAGGAAGACCAAGTAAAGCCCTAGCCCACTCTTGAACAGCAGAGGTCATGCCTACAAGCTTGACACTATCTCTGGGCTCTTTTCGGGCACGCATTTCCTCAGCATCAGTTTTGCGCTGTTGTTGTCTACGCTTGGCTTCCCTCTCCTTGGCAATCTGAACAGCAACAGCTTGCTCAAAATTAAGTCCAGGCTCTTCCTCTGGATGATCTATGAGGGTGGATGTGATTGCAAGAGATATGTCAGTTTAATCCTCAGTCTTACATGAAATGGAGACTTGTCTGGACTGACTATCAAGTTGATCCATGATAGGATCCCTTTCAGGCACTGCAGGCCCACTGTTGGTCCCCCCACTGTTGGTACCTGGATCAGCTGGATGACATGGATGGAATTAGTTAATGCACAAGGTTGATATGCTGGGTTATGATGCATGAAGATACCTGAGGATCCTTCCATTGCTTTGCGTTTGGGAATTTTGGCAAGATTTCGTGAAAATACGTATTCAAGTTGGATAATCAGACTCAGAAATTGAAATTGTGAAGATGAGGAGTTATTGATCCAATTTGAGTTGAGAAAGTGAATAGCAGAAAGTGAAATTCAGATGGAAAAGTTGAATGTTGATGGTTGGGAGAAGGGTTGAATTGCAGCAACCATTAACTGGTTTTGTTGAGGGTTGAAATTGATCCCTTTGTCTTGCAAATTGTTTGGGAAAATCCAAGTGGGTCTCATTTGGATTCGCCCAAATAGCCTAGAGTGGCAAAAAACTGGAGGAGGCCAGTGTGTTGCTCATGGTAGCACTGGCTGCATGTAGGCCTGGTAGGGAAAAATTTCATAGGCTGGTATTCTTGAATGAAATTCAATAGATTCCACTCAACACCTGAGTATGAAGGAAGTGAAATTGGATCCAGGACAACAAAACAATTGCTACATTCTGATCAAGGAAACAAAATTTGAGCTGCTGAATAAAATTGAGAAACAAATCTATTCTTTGATGGGGGATCACCTATCCAATTCTATCCGTGTTGCTCCTAATTTCATTCAGCTTTGCTAATTTAACGGTTCAGAAAGATTGATGTTGCCAAAAAACACTGCAAATTTGCATATAATGTATATGGGCCTAATTTTTCCCTAGCCCTGACCATGTTATAAAGAAATGAAGTTCGCTCAATTGGCCTCTGTACCAAGTTCCATGTTGCAATTGGAATTGCTTTCAAAGCACAGGGGGCATAAAAAATTGAAGACATTTAGTAAAAATTCACCCATAATATTACCAGACAAATGAAGACTTACATTCAAATCCATTGGATGATTTGACTGATGCACCAAAGGAGCATCAATAGGTAAAAAGGAATTCTCTAGCTTCCTTTACCACTTCCTTAAAATGTTGGGTCATTTCAATCAACATGAGAATGCTGGTGGGTTCAACTTGGCCTTCAACCTCGTCCACAAGCTGGATGAGCTGAATTCTGCGCTCCCACAGATCTTGGGCTAATCGAATTTTTTGTGCATATGCGTAAAGAATAGAGTTCCTTTCAATATGTCTTTGAAGTAGTTCCGCTTGACTCTTGTTCATTGCAATAAATTGTGATGTGCTGGAGATATTGGATTAAATATGCTTTGATTAATCAATAAAAATGGCTTCAAGTGGATTTAATATAACTCCAGAGTTGATTTGAGAAGTTTGGATTGAAGGAAATTGGAGACTGACTGGAGGTGGACATAGCAAATATATATAAGTATATATATACACCAGAATGACTTGCTCAATGGTGATCTCATTGAGCAAGTCATATCCGTATCTTCTGATGTCAAGTCATGGTGGTATCATGACTCAAGTGATCCCTTATGATTTGGTGAATATTGCTCACCCGAGAAAAAGCAGAGGCCGGGAAGAATATGAGACGTAAGGATGCTTCAGAATACAATACTGTGATATTGAACGGAGGGGGGATATACTGAAATCATGTGAGAGAAGATAACCATCAATCTGGGGAGGGATAAAAAGCAAAATTAGTATGGTTCTGTCTTATGTTGGTTGGTGCAAAGGCATAGTAGTGGAAGCTACTGTACGCTGCATTTATGTATGAGATTTCGAATTTACAAATCTTGGATTTGCCTGGCGTGAATATTGTTGGGAATGATAATTCCTGATCAGGAATTCCCTGATCAGGAATTTATCAAGGGGCCAAGTCGCGACTTGGCAAAGGGCTGCCAGGTCACGACTTGGCGCCCCGGTTGGATAAAATTTATCCAGATTTGACCTAACGGGGCCACCAAGTCGCGACTTGGCGGCCCCGGGTGGCTAATTCCCAGTGAACGGGGTCGCCAAGTCGTGACTTGGCGCCCCTCAGTGCTGCGGAGCCTTGCCGCGGCGGTACCGGGATACAGCACCGGGCCGCGATCGGGCCGGAGCCAAGTACACCTTTTGCACCTGGCTAATTCTGAATTTAGCCGTCGATCACTTTGAACCACCACGTCGATCACTACGTCGATCACTTTGAACCACTCGACGATCATTCCATTCCGAATCTCCCAGAACGTCAAACTTCCCCATTATACCCTTCGAATCAATCTCACGGACTATTGATTCGAATCCAATTGAATCGAACCCCCAAAAGGATCCACTCTGATCTGTTTTGGTTCCGGTATATCACATTCGATATCAAACTTCGGACTCTCGGATTCGTTTCTCAACTTCAAGTTCATATTTCAATAATCAATTCATATTAGTGTTTATCAATAATCAATTTATACTATTCTATATCCAGTATACCTGGAGGCTTTTTCGAATTGTTACAGAATTGCCGAATTCACACCGTTGGCTCTCACCTGTCTCACCTCAAAAATTTCAAATTTAATATCATATCTCAGTTTAAGTCAATTACTAGTCCACCGGTGCTCCGGTCATATCAACTTGGGCTATCAGCATCACGTGGCTGGGGTTTTAGTTCAGTTGTTCAGGGTTTTTAGTTTGGTCGTACAGGTGAGTTCTCAAGTTATCTGCTCGGTGTTTCATGTACTGAATTGACGCGGGCTGTTGTTTTGCAGTATGACGAGCACAACAAGTCAGCGTCCGCAACATGGTGGGAAGCGGATTGGAACTTTTCAACCGCCCAAGAATGACGACGACAACGCCTCCTCCTCGTCTGTATCTTCCGAGGAGGAGGAGGAAGAGGAGGAGGTCGAAGAGGAGGAGGAAGCCGCGGAGGAACTTACGAGCCAAGGTGGCGGTAATGATAGTCAGACAGCGCCGATCGAAGAAAAAAAACGTAAGTCTTCACATCGCATGGCCCTATCTATCCTCGTAACTATCTCTTTATCTATACTAATTCCGTACGTTCCTAGCCATCCTCACCAGTACCCAAGCAACCCTATTGAACGGGATCACGTATTACTTGGACCTCAAATCGTTTCTCGAAACAATTATTGCGCAGCGGGATATGATCGCCACCTCATTGGAACAAAAGGTCCCCATTGACATATTTGAGTCCCTAAGGGAGACTGGACTGCGCTTGGAAGCGGTAATTGACAGTAAGTTTTTTTTTATTTTTTTTTATTTTAAATTCCTGACGCCAAGTCACGACTTGGCGGCCCCGTCTAGTGCTGTTCCGGGGTGTACCCGGAACTTAACAATAGACGGGGCCTTTCCTTATTTCGTATTAACACATTTCCTTGGCTGGGGTAGGTATCAATAATGGGACCTTCCGGAACAAGAAGAGTTCCTTGGTCCAAGTCCTTGGAGTGCCGATGGAAGGTGATCCTCTGGAGGAACAACCCCCCCCGCAGCCGCTCTTCCGACCGGATCCTGAGGACGCCGAAGCTTCCCAATCTAAGGACGACGATGATGACGCCGAAGGGGATACTCACGGTGACCTTTCAGAAGCAGCAGACGACTACGAGCCACCGCCAAAACGACGATCTTCTCGCCGCCTGAGCACCAACCTCGCGGCCAGAAATCCTACTCCAACCAAAGCTGGATGCCCTTCAACAAGGGGATCCAACAGTGCTCCGAAGAAACCACCTTCGAAACCGCCCACCACGACAACTTCCCAGGCTGGTAAGTTCCCTAAGTCGACCGCCAGCCTGGATGTGTCATCCCAATCCCGCGTCAATCCGTCTCGGATTGCCAAACAGGCGGCTATCCAAAGGACTGCCGACGCGTCTCCCTCACTCGAAAAAACTCAGCGTGGCAAGAAGAGACGGCGTCAGTCCAAACCTAGCGAGCCAGAGACTCAACTTCCCCCACCTCCTCCTCCACCCAAAAACCCCGAACTGGAACGTGCCGACGCGTCCATCCGCCAAGCCGGAAATCAGATCCTCGATGTCGCACAGAGACCATCCTGGTACCCTCCAATGATTTCCAACGACTCAGATGTATTCTATGCCTTCTTTACGACCCCTTTTAAGTTGCCATCGAATTGCACTCCCCATCTGCCGCTTTCTCATTTTCTCAAAGCTCACTGGGACACAACACTACACCAATCGATGTTATCACAAAACTTGCGAAGAGGGCACGAGGCCTATCACTTAATGTTCACTTGGCTTCGTGCTGTCAGGAACGTCCCAGGCTGGAGCCCAAGTGACACGCTGGACTTGCACGATCGACTTAACCCCCTCCTTGCTGCCTTGAAGAGAGGTGAGAGGCACATGGGGCAATCGGGACCTCCGCCGGGCATACCAGGGAGCAATACGACAATGGGACCACCTCTCAATCCACCTATACCCGAAAACTCCCCAAACCCCCCCTCAGGTCCTGCGCCGCACGAGCTGAACGGTCTCGATGACCAAGGTCATCCCACGCCACAGCCTTCGCACGACGGCGAACCATTGGTTGACGAACCGCTTGAGCTACCGGACGAAATCGCCAAAGAAATCAGCAAAATTGAGGCGCTGTTGAAACTTCCTACGCACATACCCGTTGGTCGTCCGACGGACGAGTTCGCCGAGTTTTTCGATCACCCCCTGTGGCTTCGCTCCGCTGAAGACGAGGATGGACCCTGGAAAGTGTTCATTGACACGATGGACCTTCACCTCGGGAAGGCCAAGGTTCCCAGAAGATTTCGCAGAGGAGAGCATGGATTTGAAGGTTTATTCCGGCAATGGGTCACCTCCTCCCGAGCCACGGATTTTTGGAACATTCCCTCCTCTGACCTCATCCTGATGACCAAACTAGGAACCATCCTCAAACACGTCGAGGAACAGCAGATCCAACCACCTCCCGAGGCTCCACAGGTCCCTAAGCCTCCCACGCCTACCACTACAGCTGACCCCATGCCATCCCCTGCTCCCCAACACGCCACACCCACTCAGCCTTCATCGATTTCCACGGGCCCTCTTCAGGCCAGCCCACCCCATCTTCCATCTGCCCGGTGTGCGTCGAAAGGAGGTAGTGTTCCACTTGAACTGGCCGCCCACATCTCACGAGGTGACACTGAGACCGAACCCCACGAGGACAC